GGCTCCAGGCTCCAGCACAGGGCCTAACATGGGGATCGAACTCATGAACTGTAAGATCATGACCTGGGCCGAAGTCAGACACTTAACCGATGGAGCCACCTAGGCACCTCTTAAAGTGTCCGGAAGCAAACCTGCCTCCTGCCCCTCCCCCACCTGTCCCCATCCAAGCCACAGCCCTCCTGTCCTCCCTTGCCTTGTAAATCTCTCTGGAGTCTGCCCCTCACCCTTACCCCGCCACCCAGCCGGTATCCCTGCCTGTGGGCCGTGCCCTTCTACGGCACTTCTGCACTGGAGTCAAAGGGGTCCCGCCCAAAGCATACACCCCATCAAGCTGCTCCCTCTCTTGAACACCTCTCAGTGGCTCCCAGTTGTCTTCAGGTCACACTCTGAGACCTGGCCGTCAAGGCGGGGTGACTTTGCTACAACACTCCCTGCCTCAGGTTTCCACGCCTTGGCATAAGCTCACTTTCTGCTAGGAAATGACTTCCTCTCTCTCTGCACTCTCTCTGCCGGACAGACTCCCTGTTTTTGAAGACCTAGCTCAAATGCTTCCTCCTGTGTGAAGCCACCTGTGATTTCCTCCGTAACCTGGAGGGAGGATTAGTCTCTCCCTCTACCCTGATCCCGAGTGGCTCTGTTAACCCCGTTCGCCTCTCTGTGACCTCCTAGAGGCACAGGGGCAGAGACCGTGTCTTCGCTGTGTCTGCGACTCCAGCCTGGTCTCCGCAACTTCACGTACAACGTGCGCACCTGCAGATGTTTCCCGAATGAATTGCAAGGTTGAGTGGCTGGTCAGGTCTCACCGCCTCTTGGTGGCTGAGCCAAGACTGGATCCTGTCTCTGACTCTCGGCCAGTTCATCCATTCGTCCAACAAATGTTGTTGACTGGGCCAGCGCCAGGGACCCAGGACCTGGCAAAGGGCCTGGAACAGGTCCCTGTGTGTCGCTTCTGTGCCTCACTCCTCACCTCCACCCTCCCTTTTCAGAACAAATGTGTGCCATATTGGCCAGAGGTGGGCACTCAGCGCGCTTATGGACCGTACACAGTAACCAATTGCAGGGAGCACGACACAGCTGAGTACAAACTCCGTACCTTGCAGGTCTCCCCGCTGGACAATGTGAGTGTCCCCTCCATCCTCGTCTCACTCCCGGGGCCCCTCCTGGGAGCTGCTCTCATGTCTGGTTGGGTGGGACGGGATGGTGTGTGGGAACAGAGGGCACTGCCCTATGCACTCTGCCCAGGGGGACCTGGTTCGGGAGATCTGGCACTATCAGTACCTGAGCTGGCCTGACCATGGTGTCCCCAGCGAGCCTGGGGGTGTCCTCAGCTTCCTGGATCAGATCAACCAGCGGCAGGAGAGTCTGCCTCATGCGGGACCCATCATTGTGCACTGCAGGTGAGAACAATGATGAAGTTAGTAGTCGTGATGGCCAGTAAATCCTGCTAAGTGTCGCGTGCTGCTCATCGTAAACACTGCTTTCCGAGCTAATGCATTTCACGCGTCCGTCCCCCTGATCCCAGCCTCATCCGGGCTCCTTGACGGCCCCAGACCCCTGTGGGAAACTTAAGCTTGAACCCACCCCACTGATTGATCCTGTGCCTTGGGGGTGGCTTCTTCAGAGACTTCGAGACTTCCCTGGATGTACCGTCTCATCCAGCCCTGCCACATACAGATGAGAAAACAGGCCCAGCAGCTTGCCAGCTGGTCTGCGAGAGAGCCTGCACGGACACTCACAATAGACCTTGGTCCTGGTCATGTTGTTTCTTCACACGGGCTTACTCAGCGTATATATTTTCTCGGCCCCAAGCGTCTCCCATCTGGGGGCAGTGTGGCTCCCTACGTTTTCTCATTTTCCCCTCTGTAGCCCCCGGGGCGCTTAGCCTTCTCTGCTTCTCCCTTCCCAGCTAGTGACCCCACCTTGGCCTCCAGGGTTGCGTGGCGACGGGTGGTATCTCTTCCAGAGGGGCCCACGCATCACTAGCTCCACTGCAGAACCTCATGACTAGGGGACCCTGTTCCTGCTAAACGGGGAGGTGGGGGGACAGCAAGGAGGAGGTGGGGGGGGGCCATCAGGCCTGAAGGGCAGAGTCCTGTGGATGGGCCTACACAGCCCGCCTGGCCTGGGTGCATGGGAGGCAGTGGGTGCAGGTTCCTGGACAGAGACCGTAGTTTTAAATTTCAGTTCTGCTACTCACCGGCTGTGTGATCGTGGACAAATTGCTCGGTTACTCTGACCCGCAGATTTGTCTTCTGTAAATTCAGGATCTCCTATGGTTGCTCTGAGGGTTAAATGAGACCCCGTCACTGTGTCGGGAACACAGTGAATCCCCGAAGAAATGGGAGCTGTGAATGGCTTAATAACTCACAGCAGGAAGAGAATGGGGAAACGGGAGCCCGCTTTTTCTGCTTCCCTACCCACTCCCTCCAAGTGACCCCAGGCTGCGAGGGCCTCACACTTCTTCCTTCTTCCCGCCAGCAACTGCTTGCCCTGGGGCAGGGCTGGGTGGGCTGAAACTGGGGGTACCCCCCACGTGCCATCTAAGGGACTCTGCTCTGCCTCCAGGGGCAGGCCCATCGCCCACAACGACCCTCCTGCTACCCCCCTTCCACTTCTTGAAATCCCCATGGCCTTTATTTAGATGCTACAGGAAGGAAGTGGGTAAGGGGGGGGGGGTTATTTTTGACAATCTGGGTTTGAAATTAGACAGTGCAACTCAGGTCACCAGCCTGATGGGCCCAGCAAAGGGGGTGGGACTGCGGTCTCCGAGGGGTCCTGAGGTTCCCCGGGGCTGTTTGCCCAAGGGTGGTGGCACAGGGTGGGGAAGGGGACAGCCCTTACTGCGTGGCTCCCCCACCTCTCCACAGCTCCTGACCCCAGTGCCCTTTGTGCCCTGCTGTCTCTAGGACTGCCCTTTCCCTGCCGTCAGGGTCTGAAAAAAAAAAAAAGAAAAAAAGGGAAACGAAGCCCTGCTTTAAAAAGCTCTAAATATAACTTTAGAAGGGCAGGGGCAGGGTGCAGGGAAGGCCTCATTCAGGCCAAGGGTGTGGGAGAGGGCCAGGGGAGGCCCGGAGTGTCTGTGGGGCAGGCAGGACCTTGATGGGGCTGGGGCTCCTAGATCCTCCAGAGTAGGGAGCAGCCCGCAGCAGGAATGAGGCGTCAAAGCAGGAAGTGGTGGCGGGGGGAGTTGGGGTGCAGCCGGCTGGCCTGGGAGCACTTGAGAGCCGGCCCGCCTACAAATCCCTGGGCTGAAGTGATGTGCGTGGGTGCGGAACCAGGGAAGCTTCCGCCTCCGGCCTGCCGGCCCTGTGACCCCGGGAGTGTTACCTCACCTGTCCGGGGGCCTCAGTTTCTTCATGCTACCACGCTGGAGCTGAATGCCGGGGCTCTCCCTTCCCGGTGAGGCCTCTGACGGCGCCCCCTTCCCTCCCCAGCGCAGGCATTGGCCGCACGGGCACTATCATCGTCATCGACATGCTCATGGAAAGCATCTCCACCAAGGGTGAGCGGGACCCGTGGGAGACGCAGGTGGGTGGCTGGGTGAGCAGCCCCTCGGTCACCCCCTCCGCCCGAGCCTGAGGTCCAACTGCCATGCCTGCCCAGGGTTGGACTGTGACATCGACATCCAGAAGACCATCCAGATGGTGCGGGCGCAGCGCTCCGGCATGGTGCAGACCGAGGCGCAGTACAAGTTCATCTATGTGGCCATCGCCCAGTTCATTGAAACCACCAAGAAGAAGCTGGAGGTCATTCAGGTGTGTGTAGAGAGGGGCCTGGCGGAGCTGTGGGGGGGGCGTGGGCATCACCTGGTCCCTGCTGGGACCACCGCCCTCCCACCACACCTCTGCCCACAGTCCCAGAAGGGCCGGGAGTCAGAGTACGGGAACATCACCTACCCCTTAGCCATGAAGAACGCCCATGCCAAGGCATCCCGCACCTCTTCCAAGTGAGTGACCCCCGCCTGCCACCTCCCAGCATCTACTCCCCCCTCCTCCTCCTCGGCCCGACCCTCCCTTTCAGAGATGACAAGTGCTGCTGTCAGGGAGACCTGGGTTCAAGCTCAAGCTTGACTCTTACTACCTGTGTTCACAAGTATTTCCTGGGTCGGGCCTGTGTCTATGTCGGGCCTGTGCTGGGTACCAGTAGTATTCCTGGTGTAGAAGATGGAGCCTTTGCCCACAAGGAGCTTCTAGTCTAGTGAAAGGACAGTGACCAGGTCTCCTCTCTCCTGGCCTCAGTTTGTTCACCTGTGAAATGGGGTGGGCCAGATGGGGCCGCTGGAGCTGGGTAACCCTGCACGGTCTCCTGACCTGCGCCAACTGCCCACCCCACCTGCAGACACAAGGAGGATGTATATGAGAACTTGCACAGTAAGAACAAGAAGGAGGACAAGGTGAAGAAGCAGCGGTCGGCGGACAAGGAGAAGAGCAAGGGTTCCCTCAAGAGGAAATGAGGCGGGGTATGGCCCCTCTGCTCAGGGCTCCTCCTTGCCCTGCCCCCCGGTATCGCTGGGTCCAGTGCTTTCCCCTGGATGGATGCGGTAGCTGCGGCCTTCCCCTGCCCTTCCCGGCCATTCCAGACCTTCTTGGTCTCCTTCCCCGGTTCGGTTCCAGCCACCCCCTTACTCCGTTCCTCCCTTCTCTTTGCAGCCTCAGCCCTGATCCCTGCAGAGGCCTCCGGTGGGCCAACCCACGGCCGGAACTGAGGAGCCCGCCCCCATTCTATTGTAATTTAAGTGGCTGTGTCCCTACTTCCCTCTTCCTGACCCTGTATATAGCCCCGCGCGCGAGACTCCAGGCAGCATCAGGCCCTATACTCTTGTAAATAAAGCCCCTAGGATCACTGTGTGTGGTTCTCTAACTGTGACTGCCTGGGCCTGAGGAGCTCAGAAGGGGACTGGGGGAGGGGGAGTGAGCAGGGAGCCGTGTGTGTGTGTGTGTGTGTGTGTGTGTGTGTGTGTACAAAAGCACAAAAGCTTGACTTTCACCTTTGACCTGACCTGGTTCTGGACTCTGCTTAACACACCAGGAGTGTGACCGTGGGCCAGATTCCTCAGTCTCTTCTTTAAAATGGAGAATGGTGAGGGGCGCCTGGGTGGCGCAGTCGGTTAAGCGTCCGACTTCAGCCAGGTCACGATCTCGCGGTCCGGGAGTTCGAGCCCCGCGTCGGGCTCTGGGCTGATGGCTCAGAGCCTGGAGCCTGTTTCCGATTCTGTGTCTCCCTCTCTCTCTGCCCCTCCCCCGTTCATGCTCTGTCTCTCTCTGTCCCAAAAATAAATAAACGTTGAAAAAAAAAAATTTTTAAATGGAGAATGGTGAAAGGTTACAGCACAGGGAATATAATCAATGGTGCTGTAATGGCACCTGGCATGGTGACAGATGGCGACTGTACTTGTGGTGAGAGCGTAGCATAACGTATAGACTTGTGGAATCGGTAATTGGTACACCCGAAGGCAATGGAACATTGTGTGTCGACTGTACCTCGGTTAAAAGAAAAAAAAAAAAACCTATATATAAAATAAAATGGAGGATGATCCTGAGGGTGGTTGTGAAGATCATTGAGGTGAGGGATCAAGGTCGTAACTGGCCACAATAATTCATTACACGTTTGCCACGTGTCGGGCACTGTTTACAAGACTACACACTCATTCCTGTTTCACCGTGGGTGGCTGTGTCATTCCTGTTTCACCGTGGGGAAAACTGAGGCACGGGTAGGTCACATGACTTGCTGCAGACACACAGCTATCGAGCAGTGAGGCTCTGAGATTTGAACTCGGGCCGTCTGTCTGCGGAGCACACACTCCTGGAGAGGCAGCCTTGGTCGCCCTGAAGGGACACAACCGCACTCCTCTAGCGCTGACTTCTAGATCTGAGAGCTGAGACCAGTACAAGCCAGGAAGCAGGGGCCTGGTGCCACCCACTGCCCCACCCCTCTCTGGGCTCCCGTGCGCCGTGCTCCTCCCTTGACGGGAGCCCCTACTGGCCTGGTGCTCCTGGGCAGTTTTATTTTTGTCCCCTCGGCCTTGCCCTGTGTCCAGGGTGGACTACCAAGGATCCCTTCTTTGTGTTAAGGCTTTATCTTGATTTGAATTAAGGCCCCTCTCCTGGCGAGTTAAGCCTGTGAGGGTCCCGCCCAGGAAGGCCCAGCTCCCTGCTGCAGGAGAGGCCGAGGGGTGGGCTGGCCCCTACTGTCATTCATTAGCATGTGCTTTACTTGAGTGTCCACTGTGTCACAGGCACTGGAGCAGTGCTGAGGGCATGATGTGAACAAGACAATTCCTGTTGGGGAGCTAGGAGACAAGCCCACAAACAGGAAATAAGTACGGACAGGTGTTAAGGATGCAAACAAAGGAGACTGAGAGGAAGCTGGGAGACCAAGGAGAGCTTGGATTGGGCCACACAATAGCTCCTGGAGCCATCGCCCTCCAGGGGGTGGGGGTGGGGTGGAGCGTCACCTGCCGCCTGGGTGGGGTGGGGGGGCGCGGGGAGGACTCTTCTCTCCCGGCAACGCCTAGAGCTGCACAAAAGAAAGGCAGGTCCCACCCCTCTAACCACCCTAGGGCCAACTGCTCCCTAGGCTGGGACTTGCATCCAGGGCATTGAGGTGGGTCCGGGAGCAGCTCTGCCCCGGGGTGCTCGGTCCGTTTCCCATGGAGCAGCAGGGGCGTTTCTCCCCACGGGATGGCTAGGAGGGCTGAAGGACAGCAGCTCAGTACTTTCACCAGCAGGATAGGGTCAGTACTGCTGCTCCTGGCCAGCTCTGGCCTTCTGGCAGGGGTGGGCTCCCCAACTTTAGGGCTGAGGACGGGGAGACACCCTGCTGGGGGGTTGAAGACACCCGTCAACAGGCAGGGATGCCCGGCAGGTGGAGGGCACAACCCAATCCCTGCTGAGCTGACCCCTCGCTGACCTCAGGGCTGTCTGGCCTCGGAGGAAGGGGCTGGCGAGGGCAGGGGTAGCTGTGGGGAGCCCAGAGACATCCCCTCTCTTTCCCCCCCTGGAGACCAGGCTCCCTAGGGGAGGCTGGGGGGCAGAGGAGGCGGGTAGGAGAGAAGGGATCTCTAGGAAAGGGTGGGAGGCCTGGCGGGGTGGCCAGGCCTCAGCGCGGCTGGCCCTGGGAGGGAAGGGGTTAAGGCGGTGGGGGGGCAGCCTATGGCAGGAGGACACACCTGTGCGCAGGGGCGGCGGGCGGGGCCCAGGTGAGGAGCCTGCGCCCGCCAGGCCCTGGAGAAGGAAGGAGGAAGAGTGGAGGCCCGGCGGGCGGGCGGGCTCTAGGCCGTTGAATCCTGGGCCTTGACTCCCCTTCCTCTCCCCGGCACTCACTCTGTGGGGGTCAGGCGGCCCCGGTGACAGGTAAAGGCCACTGGGAGAGGGATTCTGGGGCTGGGCCAGGAACCAGCGAGTGGGGATGGAGACCGATGAAGCGGTGTGTGTGGGGGGATCAGGGACAAGCTGTGGGGGCGGCTGGGGAAGGGGCTCAGAGGTGAAGAACTGATGGGCAGGGGCCTGCGGAAGACCTACCTGAGTCCCAGTGGATCAGCAACTTAGGGTGGGGCTGGTGGCGGGCTACAGGGCTCACCCGGAAGTGTCCCCAGGGACTCGGGTGGTGGGGGATGGGAGCCAGGGTTCTGCAGCCTCTCCACAGGGAGCCTGGGCGGAGGACTGCCCGACCTGGAGGTGGGCAGGCTGGGCAGGGGCCCCCGTCTTACCCAGCAGTGTTTGGGTGCTGGTTGGGAGTCTCTAATACTGCCGGGTAATGATGGAGGCCCCCGTTCCCGTGTCAGCGACATCTACCGCCTCAGGCCCCCCAGCCCCCCGCTGGCTGCAACCCCCTCTCCCGAACCTCCCCACACACCGTGGAACCCCCTTCGTCTTGAGTGAAGTGTGTTGCCAAAGAGGTGGCTCTCCGTTGGCTGGCTGCCCACTGAAGGGACACAATGGCCCGAGCCCCTCCCCCAACCCAGTGTGATTTGTCATCTGGTGGATCCAGAACCCACAGCCGACCTTGAGCTTGGGATCTGCTACATACCCTCAAGAGACCTCACCTGGACTGCGGCCAGGGTCCCTGTAGCGACTGGTCAGCTCTAGCCTGGAGCTGCATGTCAGCCGGCTCTGGGTCCATCTTCCAGTACAGTGTTGGATGGTCTAATTGTGAAGCTCCTAACACTGTCTGGTAAAGATGGCCCCCGGCCGGTTCCCTCGGCAGTGACCTTCAGGGAGCCCCGAAGACCATGGAGGCCTCCCAAGGAACAACCTCTGACCTTTACCCCTCTGGACGGGGGGTATAAATCATTAGAAAAAGGGAACAATGGGGAGGAGACAAAATGGCTGCCTCTAGAGTCCCAGCAGGATTTGGAAGCATACCAGGTACCTCCATTCTCTTCTCCCCTTGGGAAGATGAAAGAAATAAAGTGTGGATAGGAACTCGTGGCCGACTGATTCAGGTCACTTGACCCGTCTTTTGTCTAATTGTTGATTTCATCTTAGGCTCCTAGCTCCGGAGGAGTTGGGCTGACATATCTGGTTCATCTCCTTGTCCCTTTTATGACACTTACCTGCAGAGCAGGGGAAAATAAATCTACTTTTCTTCAACAATCGGGAGAAGTGGAAGATGAACCCGGTCCCTAACCCTGTAAGACTCATCTCCTCCCCAACCACTGCACTCTGTAGTTTCTGTACATACTTTGCCCCCACCCCCCACCCCCGTGCTGAGGACTCCAGATGTTCCTGGTCTCCCCCCAAAAGACAAGGGGTGGGAAACAGGGGCCGTTGCGGTATTCAGGCACAGGCAGTGGCTTCATTTCTCTAATGCATGAGTGGCCAAGGCTGTCTTGGGAAGGGGAGGCAGCCCGTGTGGGGACTGAAAATAGGCACTCACTCTGTTGGGGGCCCAGGGCTGCGGGCATGAAGATCCGACCTCCACAGGTAAAGCCCTGCTCCACAAACAGCTTCGCACAGCTGATGACTGAGAAATTTGAGTATGGGTAGCCCACGGCAAGAACATGATCCACTGGGCTTTTGAACGCATAAAGGACCTCGACAGGCACAAATGGTTTCCCCCACAGCTACATGGAGCCTTGTTGCCAAGGAAACAGCTTGTGTTGGGGTCATCAGATTATTTTGGTCTAGCTCAGCAAAGCCACAGCTGCTCCAGCCTTAAAAAAAGGAAATGTTGGTGAATAGATGTTGGCGATGTGGTAGAAGTGGAGGGTGGAGCGAGAAGTGCAGCTGGGCCTCAGGGTCTGAGGACCTGCTGCTCCCAGCTTAGGCCGTTTTGGATTTGACTCGGCTGGGCTTCCACCGGGAAGCAGCAGGTCCCAGGCTCTTCCTAACGCCTCCCTAACTGCCCCGGCCAGAATCTCGGCGCCCCCTGCTGGCAGATGCAGAGAAAGACCCAGGGGAGCATGACACTAACGTGCGCATGCGTGACCCTCCTAACCCAACTCAGACACACGATGCAAAGACTTAAGCTTAACTAATAAAAATTTATTGAGAATTCCTGGGATGGTGGTTATTGCCTCCCAACCTGGAGGGAGGAACCAACACTGTAGGAAATCACGCAGAAATCACGCTGTCCCAGCACCTCTGGCCAACACAGGGAGGAACAAAGTCATTCCCCCCCCCCCAAAAAAATTGGTCAGGCTTTGTTCATCCAAGAAGGGCTGGGAGGCCAGATGCAGAAGGGACCATCACATGATACTGAGGGGTGGGATGGGGGTGTGTGTGTGCTGGACCCCGAGCTGGCTCCTCAAAAACCAGGGGAGAAACAGACCCACTTCTCTGGTGGCAGAGTTCATGGTCACCAGGCTCACTTCTTAGCCTTGATGAGGCTGTCACTGTGGAAACCAGACAGACGGAAGACATTAGGGAACATAAATGTGAGAGGGAGAGCACCTCAGACCACTCCCTCCTTCCTGGGTGAGGGTGTGCGTGCGATGAGGGGAGAAAGGTGAGGCCACAGGGGAGGAGACAAGTACTGGGAGAGGCAAGACCCTATTGAAACAAGGATGAGTCAACAACTTACCTGCCCCTGCGGATACCAGGTCACCAGACGAACGGGAAACACAGAAAGAGAAGAGAAATGCATGTGTGATCCAACAGTTTCAGGCCCCGCCAGTTCTAAGCCCACCTCTGCTCCCAAGAAAAAAAGAAACACATCTGGAAGCCAGGAAGGTCACGCTGAGAAGGGAGACTGATTCCCTTGACCACTACCACTCCTCCCATGCCCTAGAGCAGCAATGGATTTTAGGGCTTTCCGAGTAAGAGAACAGAATATCATTTTTCACTACTCTTCAGTTAGACCAAACCTCACAACTAGAGTGCTTTTTACAAGATAAATCCTATTTGACCTCGTAAGACCAATCTTACGAGAGTCAAGCTCGGGACTGTCAACCACCCACTTTTCTAACTGTTCACAGAAATGGTGTCTTTCAAGCCACCAGACTCAGGTCCCATGCTCTCTGTGACGCCCCCTTGTGTAGGTGTCTCACCGGGTAAAACTTTCATCCTGTAGATTCAGGACAAGGTTGTCAGCAGTGAGATAGATACGGTTCTGTGATGTGGCAATCTATAGGGCGAGAAATAAACAGATGTTTGAACTCACGCCTGGACTTTTACCTTGCAAGTCAACAACCACTGATTGAATACGTGTGGGTTAGGAACTCGGTGACAAGTTAAGGCATGGTTTCTGCCCTCAAAGATCCAGAGCAGTGAGCAACAGCGATGTATTAACACCACAACAGAGGCAAAAACGAAAGGTCATGCCTTTTGTTTTCATGGAGAAAAGTGTTGGAGAAGCCAGGTTGAGTTAGAAACCCCAGTAAGCAATATTTGAATCCCTTTGCGTCAATGTGCTTTCACTTAAAACAATTCCAGACTCATGGCAGCCTTTCGGGGACACTGGGCTCTTGTGCTCACCGTCTTGGAGATGTTCTGGGCTGCCCGGATCTTGCGCAGTTTGATGTAGCCAGGGTTTTTGCTCAGGGCTTCTCCAAGGTGAGCAGGTTGGGGTTAAGGGTTCACACAAGGTCCAGTTTTGGTCTCAACCCGCGGCCCCATCCTTCCTACTCCAGCCCTTCTCTGGACTGTCAGATCCAAGGTCGCGCTCAGATAGTTCGTGCCTAGTCCCACTTTGGTCCCCATCTGTGGGCCCCCCCTGCAGGCAGCTGCCAGGAACTGGAGGCAGCAGCAGAAATGGAGGCAAGGCCAGCAGTGCTATTGATCTGCCTTACAGGGAGGAGCCAGGCCTCAGGCACCTCTCTAAGATTTCAGACCCCATTCAAAACCTCCATCCCCAGGGAGCCAAGGACAGAGCACAGAGTCGCATTCGCCTTAGTCTCATCAGCCGGCCCATGAGGGAGAAGGGGAAGCAGGGTGCTCCAGGGGCTGGGCAGAGACTTCCCTAGCAGAAGGATATCATCCTGGCGGCCTCGGCCTCACCCTCGGCCTGCACAATCTTCTGCCGCTGTTCCTGCTTTGCTTTTTCCACCAAAAACTGGGCTCGCTGGGCCTCCTGCTGAGCTGTGGTGGGAGAGAGCCAGGAGGTCACAGATATGAGGTGTCAGGAACCCCAGCCTACCTCCTGCCTTCTCAGAAACCTTATTCCTCTCATAACTCACCCACTTGCTTGGCTTCCACAGCGGCCGTGTACTCTCGGCTAAAGCTCAGCTCTGTGATGGCCACATCATCCAGGATAAGGCTGAAGTCCTTGGCCCTCTCTGTCAGCTCCCGCCGGATCAACAAGGATACCTGGGGGTCAGGGAGGGGCGGGCGGATTGAAGGGACTGGAGAACTGGAAGGGAAGGGCATTGCTGTGATTGTCTGAATACCAGATCTCCTGAGAACGGCAGAAAACCACTAAGCCTTTCTTAGTTCCTCACTAGAACATCTGAGTTGGAAAGGACTTGGTCCAGTCTTCTCCGGTCACAGGGACTCCTCATCTTCCACTCTCCCCAACATAATCTACACTTCTAGACTTTGCCACTGTTTCCTCCCCTGGTTCCTGATGCTGACTGCTACTGAGTGCTGATCTTGACTCTCCTGGTTTCTCAGCGGACATTAGTACAGCTTTAAGTTGAAAAGGGAGCCAGAGTCATGACCCTTTTCTAATAAGCTGCCTTTCCTAATATCCACTGCTCGAGGCCTAGGAGGGAAGGTGTGAGATGGTGACAGGTCAGACCTGGGCCCGCTGGGTGATCAGCTGTGAAGCATTGAACTTGGCCACCACACTCTTGAGCACCTCATTGACAATGGACGGCAGCACTCGCTCCTCGTAGTCTAGCCCCAGGCGCTGGTACATGCTGGGAAGCTCCATGGCATTGGGTCGAGACAGCACTCGCAGGGAGATATTCACCATCTGCAGGTCTGAGAGTGAGGTCAGCAGTGGGTGGTCCAGGCCATGGGGGCCTCCTCTGGTCTCTTAGCCAAGAACCCTTCCCCAAGCATCTCCTCCTCCACACACCTCCCTCTACACCTAACGCAGTGCTGTGCGGTTTGGAACTCCCCTGGGGAATGGAGGGTGATCAGGCTGACAGGCCAAATGTATCCTTTCCCATTGTAAAGTCTTCTCTACTCACAAGCTCTCCACCAGTAAAGCTGACTTCTCATTTTGCTTCTCTACTGTGTTCAACTTCTATTGTAGGCTCTCTCATGCTGCATCAGAATCATTTGCATTCTTGGGGTGCCTGGGTGGCTCAGTCGGTTAAGCGTCTGACTCTTGGTTTCGGCTCAGGTCATGATCTCACTGTTCGTGGGGTTGAGCCCTGCGTTTGGCTCTGTGCTTTCACTGCAGAGCCCACTTGGGATTCTCCCTCTCTCTTTACTAGACTATGGACTTGAGGACAAGGGTTGTGTTTTATGAGTCCTTTATTCGTAGGGCCTACCATTCAGAGAGTGTTAAGCCACTTTCGCTAAAAACAGTGTATTACAGATGAGCTACTTGAATCAGTGCGCATGCCTGTGTGTGTGTGTGTGTGTGTGTGTGTGTGTGTGTGTACGTGCCCACGCACATGAGAAAGGGCTCTGGGTGATCTCAAAGACACAGCTTCTATGTATGGTCTAAAAGGGAAAAGGTTCACCCGTGAAAAGTGGGCCAAGTTTCCCCACGACAGGGGAAACTACTGGATAGACTTGGATAGAAACTACTGGAGAGTCAAGCAGTTAAAACAAAACAAGGTCTTAGAACAAGGCTTTGATCTACACAGTGACTAAGACAAAGAACAAACAATGCCCTCACTGAACTTACAGTAGTGGGGAGGACAGCTGATAGATATGGGCAAACACACAGGGTGTCCAAATCGTACTGTTTTAACCTCAAAAGCAGGTCCTTTTATTATAGCTGTTTTGCAGAAGAGGAAACCAAGACCCAAGGGATGTGACACTATCCTCCTCCCCTAGGATCTGCCAGGCTTCCTTGCTTACTTTATGGAGCCATCTGGCAGGGACTCCCAGGTGCCCAGACCTACCTTTGGAGCCTGTGGGGGAGGAAATTTTTCGGGGTCTGGCCCGAATGTCATAGATGATGGGGTACTGGAACCAGGGGATCCTGCAGGGGAGGAACAGGGATAGGTATCAGGGGACTGCAGTTTCACTAGTTTCTCCAGGTGTTCCCTCACCACGCGTTTTTTGGCCTGCTCCACCTCTTAATGACCATGGGCAATGAGAAATTCTCTCCTCCCTCTGGAGAACAGTTTATGTGCCGCCCGAGTTTTGGGCAGCACCCACTGCTCCAGCAGAAGGAGGGAGGGGGCAGTAAAAGAGCAGCTCTGAATCCTTCGAGAGCCCTACTACAACCATTGGTGGGTTGGCGTTCAAGGGTGAAGGGGTCAGGGTCAGTCCGCTCTGCCCGCCATTACCTGAAGTGAAGGCCCTCGGCCAGAATGGTGTCCTGCTGCACGCCACCGATCCGATTAAAGAAAATGGCTCTGTGCCCGCCTTCCACTGTGGGGAGAGGGGTGGGGGTCAGGCCTAAACGCTGCTGAGAGTACGTTACTAACTTCTCGGGGAGGCGGGCGGGGGTGAGGGTCTGGGTGAGGGCGGGGACCCAGAGGGACAGGGCAGAGGTCTAGCGGGGGTGGGGGGAGTCCGGAGAGCGGGCAGAGGTTGCTCACCGGTGAACACAGATTCGCGGACGCCGTAGGCCACGGCGCCGGCCCCCAGCAGCAGCTTCAGCGCCGTGCCCATGCCCCGTGGCCCGGAGGGCAGCCGCCCCGCTAAGTCCTTCAAGTTCTGGGCCATGTCCGATCCTATGGCCGGCGGCACCAGAGGTCAGAAGCAGGTGCCGGCCCGCCTCTACCCGGCTCCAGTTTAGAGATCGCACCCCTTCACACGAGGGTCCGGGGCCCTCGGCGCTTGCGGGAGAAAGGGCACCGGAAGTGCGCTCCCTTCTAAACCCTCCCCAGGGCTGAGGACCCGAACTTCGCGCACAGGAATTACGCATCCGGAACTTCCAGCCCCTTTCTGGAACCCTGCCCTTCCAGAGAGGCTTCGGTAGCGCCAGACTGCAAGCCATCGCCATTTCCAAGTGCCCACTTTCAAAATGGCAGCCGGAAGGATGTTTGAGATTGGGCAAACGCGAAGTTTAAGGACGTTATCGCAATTTCCGGTCCGGTTGCAAGATGGCTGCGCCCAGTGGCGGATTCCAACCTCGTGAGCGGCGCGTTGGAGAGCAGGAAGAGGGCTGGGATGCGGTGGCTCCCAAGCGGCCCCGACTCGGGGCGGGAAACAAGATCGGAGGGCGAAGGCTCATTGTGGTGCTGGAAGGGGCCAGTCTGGAGACAGTCAAGGTAGTTTGGGACAAGGAAGTGGAGAATTAGCAGATCGATAGGATGGGACCCCGGGGCGGGGGGGAGGTGAGGGTGAGAGGCTCAAAGTGGATGGAGAAGCAGAGAGAGTGAAACATGCTTTTGGAGGAAGAATAGCCTAGTTGACTCTTTTGGTTAAACACCTGGGTTGGCGTTACTCGTTTTCTTCTGCTCTTCGTGAATCTCATTGCAGCTGTCACATCCTGACTTCAATTGATTTACCGGGATTCTGTGGTAAAAAGTTATCTAAAGGGAGGGAGGGTAGGGAAGGATAGACATGTCCATTGCGTCATCCCTAGGTGTCTTTTGTCACCTTCCTTTATAGTACTATCCACTTTGAAAGGCTGGATCAATTATCATTTAATACTTTTACATCCTTATTTTTACCTGTCATTCAGCCCTTTTCCCGAATATTCCAGCAATTGTATATCTTAAAACTGCAGTGTTCTCACTCTGACTTTCTTGTTTCTCTTACCTTTAGAGCTAAACTTGTCGAATGAGGAGGCCCAGAAGAAATAGCACTGGTCTCTAAGTCAGACCTGGGTTTTAAACTTGTTTTTCATACTTATTTTAAGTGTGTGATCTTGAGAAAACAACTTTGGCCTTAGTTTGTAAAGTGGAGGTTAATACTTTGAAAGTGCTTTAAAAGTAATATTTTGATAGTAATGTGATTCTTTTCCATTTTTACTTCCTCAATCTTTGTGTTACTTTATTAAGCTTGCAGTCTAGAAAGTCTTTTTTTTCCCCCCCATTTTTCTTAGGTAATTGATATTTCCAACTTAATTACAGGATCTTATATTTATGTCTCAGTTAATTGCTTGCCGTCTTTCCAGCCTATTAATTCTGAATCTCCCTTAACCACTTGTTTCTTCATATGTCCCATGGGGATGATAGTACGGACCTTATTGGGTTGAGGGGATGAAGGGAGGTAATATCAGCAAAGGGTTTAGAATGATGCCTGTCACTTGGAATAAATTATTGCCATTGTTATTGATTCCAGGTTCCTCATCAAGAAGTTGAAAAGGTCATGGCCAAATTAAAGTTCTTAGAGCATGCTAGTGGAATGTAGGTCAGATTGTCATTAATGGTACTCCAGGGATGATTGAATTCATAGCTGGTTGAAATTTTATGTACTATTATCTTTTGCCTTCCTGGTGCTGGTCCTTCTTGTTCTGCTAGCCTCGTGGAGCCTGCTCTCTCCTATTTATTCCTTAGAGTCCAGACTTGTTGGCCTTTGTTAAGGTCTTTGAAAGCACTAAGTTCTCTGATATTTTAAGGCCGTTGCACATAATGTTCTCTAACGGAAGCTTCCTTTACTTAGCTCTTTATTAATTCCTGTTTGACAGTTCATGCAACAATTACTGAATATGATGCTGTTCATTTTTCAATTATTAGTTAAAATGTTATTTCTTCATAGGAGTGACTCCCTTCTTGGTATAAATCAGCCCTCCTGTTAATAATCCTTTAACAAACCATTTATTTTTCTTTCATAATGTTGATCACAATTTGGTTGTGGTTTCATGTGGTGGTTTACTGTTTGTCTCTTCCACTAGAAGGCTTCCATGAGGGCAGGGAATAAAAGGTTCTAAAAATTCTTATAGCTCTGATACCTGTTACAGAAAATGAATACACATAGTACTCATTCTCTGATTATTCTAATTAGTTGTTTTCAAGCTTATTAACCACAACCCGCAATAAAAAAGTCACATTGTGAGCCAGTACACACACACACACACAAACACATGCAACTATCTGATACCAAAAGCTTCATCAAGTACTACTTACCATGACTACATGTAAAGTACTCTTTTCTATTTTATTAAAATAATAAAACTCCTGGTTATAGCTTACTAATGGGTAGAAACTGGATTGTTCTATTCAAGAGGTTCTTTTTTTCAATAACTAAGAGTGTCCCACAGAGTTGGTTCTTTCCCTATGCTTACTCTCTGACATTTTTGTTGTTTCAGTTAATCAGTTTCAAAATCTACATGCCTCTTCCCCCAAGCTTTGTGGAGTTATGTTTCCTTTTTTTTTTTTTAAAGTGTTTATTCCTGACAGAGAGAGTGTGAACAGGGGAGTGGCAGAGAGAGGGAGACACAGAATCTGAAGCAGGCTCCAGGCCCTGAGCTGTCAGCACAGAGCCGGAAGTGGGGCTCGAACTCACAAACTGTGAGATCATGACCTGAGCTGAAGTCGGACAGCTTAACCGACTGAGCCACCCAGGCGCTCCTGGAGTTATGTTTCTTAAGTTATTGCCAGACATACGAATGTTCTATTGATACATAAAAACACAGCCTCTCAAATCCTGTATTTGTATATTTAGTGGTGTGGTTTTGGACTTTTTACTGACCACTTTATTGCTCCTTAGGACCCCAAATTGCAATCTGCAATTCTTTCTTTTAGCTGCTATAGATTTTAGCCAGATCTTTAGTATCACACATGTAGTTAGTGTCTCTTCTAGTATACACTGAGTTACCAGAATAATATTCCTCATTCACTCAGTGCCCTGTTATTCCACAATTATTTCTGGCTTTGTGCTTGATACTTGAGGAACCTTGCAGTTTACAAAGCAGTCATATTTAATCACTGTTCTTCAGTGTTTCAGTTCTACTTTTTCCGCATGCGTTTTCCTTCTTGACACTTCTGCTTTTCCTTTATTCCAGCTGTACCTTTGCTCAGACCAGTCTTAACACTGGCACCAACCCTCTTCCGTTTTACTTTTGAAAGTATTCCTTGCTGAAGTCGCCTCCCGCATCATTAGAATTTTCACACTTTTCTCTCCATCCTCGCCAACACTTATTTCTTGCCTTTTTTGGATACTAGCCATTCTGGCTGGTGAGGTGATACCTTGTTGTGCTTTTGATTTGCATTTCCCTGATAAGTGAGGTTGAGCATCTTTTCATTTGTCTGTTGGTCATCTGGGTGTCTTCCTTAGAAAAATGTCTGTTCAGGTCCTCTGCCCATTTTTTAATCAGATTGTTTTTTTTGGTATTGCAGAAGTTCTCTGTATTGGTTAATTTGGATATTAACCCCTTATCAGATACATCATTTGCAAATACCTTCTTTCCCATTCAGTAGGTTGCCTTTTTGTTTTGTGGATGGGTTTCCTTTGCTGTGCGGGAGTTTAGATCACGTGAAATCACAGGCTGTGTCCTTTTGTCATCCAAGATCATTTACAGGGGTAGGGGAGAAAGGGTCAGTGGCCACACAGTAAACCCCTGAAAGGTTTGCTGGGCCCCATCACCCATTTCTGATTCAGAAGATCTGGAGTAGACTGAGAATTTGACTAACAGGTTTCTAGATGATGATTATGATGCTGCTGCTGCTTTGGGGACCACACTTTGAGAACCACTAGTCTAGGTAAAAGAAGCTTATGTTGCTGTCTGTCATGTTCCCTGTTCTTTAGGTAGGGAAGACCTATGAGTTACTCAACTGTGACAAGCACAAGTCTGTGCTGTTGAAGAATGGACGGGACCCTGGGGAAGTGAGACCAGACATAGCTCACCAGGTAACTCCAGGGACAGAGCTCACGACCCCAAGCCTTTGTACAGGTCGGGCAGCTGCGTGCTGCTTCTCTTCGCTTGAAACTATGCCTTGGTTTCTGCGTCCCCCAGAGTTTACTGATGCTGATGGACAGTCCCCTGAACCGAGCTGGCTTGCTGCAGGTTTATATCCACACACAGAAGAACGTGCTGATTGAAGTGAACCCCCAGACTCGAATTCCCAGAACCTTTGACCGCTTTTGTGGCCTCATGGGTGAGATCTCTAGGAGTTAAGGTTCAGAACGAACTTGGCAGTAGTGAAGAAGGGAGGAAGAGGAAAGAGATAAATGAAATGTGAGCTTTGTAAATAGGAGGAGTGGGGTGTATGTTTGATACCAGAACAAGGACTCATCTTCCCAGGGGCTGGGGTAAAACCTGCATGGGTTCCTGGCCGAGTGAACTCATTGCCATCCAACTAGTCATATGCTTGACAACTGCTCGTTCGTACCATTTTAGGACCATAGTGTGGATGTAAAGGACACACGGAGCCCACTTTACCTGTGGGTTTTTCTGGTTAGATTTCTGGGCAGAAGAAATGGGGTCACCACCTAGCTCTGAACTCTTTTCTCCCCACCCTCAGTTCAGCTTTTACACAAACTCAGTGTTCGAGCAGCTGATGGCCCCCAGAAGCTCTTGAAGGTGAGATACTGGCACCTACTGGTTGGAGGAGGGGTTCTGAGATTGTTTCTGGGGCTGATTTTTCTTTTTTTCCCTTGTTCTCTTTAGGTAATTAAGAATCCAGTGTCAGATCACTTCCCAGTTGGGTGTATGAAGATTGGCACATCTTTTTCCATTCCAGTTGTCAGTGATGTACGAGACTTGGTGCCTAGCAGTGACCCTATTGTTTTTGTGGTGGGGGCCTTTGCCCATGGCCAGGTAAGGCCTGGGCTCAACTCTTGGGTTCTTCATAGAGCTGAGGCTTAGTATAGAATTCTGAGAACAGCTGGCATTTTGATGACCTTGGGAGACAGAGGGTGAGAACAAAGCCGGAAGACAAACAGGGCCTCCACGACCTGCACGCCCCCGCCCCCCCAGCTGTATCTTTTGAGGACTGCTGGTATATTTGTGACAGTGAGAGTCAAGGCCTTCTTCATCCTTTGTACAACTTGAACAGCACTGGAGGGGCGCCTCAGTGGCTCAGTCAGTTAAGCGTCTGACTTCAGCTCAGGTCATGATCTTATGATTCATGGGTTCAAGCTCTATGTTGGGCTCCACGCTATCAGTGCAGAGCCTGCTTGGGATTCTCTCTCTCCCCCTCCCACCCTTCCCCCACACGCACTATCACTCGCTCTCTCTCTCAAAAACAAGTAAATCTTTAAAAAAATAGCACCATAAAGATCTGCTGGCTCAGTCGGTAGAGCCTGCCACTCTTGATCTCAGGGTTGTGAGTTCGAGCCCCATGCCAGGTGTAGACATTACTTAAAAATAAAATCTAGAAAGAAACCCAGCACTGTGAAATACTAGCTCAGCCCTGTTTTCCCTTCCCCAAAGACGGGCTGAACTTGTTATAGAGTGACAGAACTGTCTCTCTCCTTAGGTCAATGTGGAGTATACGGAGAAGATGGTGTCTATCAGCAACTACCCCCTGTCTGCAGCCCTCACCTGTGCAAAACTGACCACAGCCTTTGAAGAAGTATGGGGGGTCATCTGACAATAGCACCTTGTTCTGAAACAGAGACTGTTGTCATTATATCCCTTGGCCCTGCTTTCCGCCCGCTGCTCGGAGAGGACCTTCCTGCACCGGCACTGTGGGGGGTTTGGGGAAGCCGAGGCTGTACATTTGCTATTTGTTTAGCCTATAAATACTGTTTATCCTATAAATATCTGGTAGTTCTTTGGGGATTCCTAAAATTAGCAGTATCTTAATGGTGGAAAAAAATCTGAATGGTTGTTCTCCTCAGACTTCAGGAAAAGATGTGAGGTCACAGCGTTTGCAAGTTTGGTCCCAGGCTTTACGGTTAGGCCTTGACTCCCACCTTCTGGGCGGTAAAGGAGAGAGCCCTGCTGAATTTTCAGCTCTGTGGCAAGCACGGAGAACGGTCTGTAAGGAAGCAGCCAGGAATGCCAGCAGTAAAAAACTGAACAAAGAGAAGTGATTTTATCTGGTACAGTTCCAAGGTAGAAAAAGTGGAGCAGGTGGGGCCTTGTACCCCACCCCGCCCCCCCATGGGGGGGGTGGTGGTAGCGGCACATATACAATCATAGTAAATTGGCAGGAGAAAAACACAACAGATTCCTGGCTAGAGGGGGAGAGATAAGGCAACGTGCATGGGGGAGCCCAGAGGGGAGACACGGGCCCTCTACTCCTCCCACGAGAGTTTCCCCTTTGGCCCCAGATGAAGACTTGGCTGGCAGCAGAGGCACGGCTAGGAGTATCATGTCTTCCCACTCCCTGGTTTCCATGTTCTCTGTGCTCTGAGGCGAAGGAGGGCTGTGGAAAGGGAGACAAGTGGTTTCTGCACCAGCCCGGCGCTAGGCCACCTGCAAGAGAAGAGATTTGATTGGCAGGCTGGTCGGAGTTATTCCTTCCAGTCTCTGGTCTACAGAGACCAGACTCTGGGGGCCCAAGTTTGCCGTGATCGTATAGTACTCTGTGTCGTGGGGGCCCAAGTTAGAGTGGTCAGTGCCCCACACTTGTTTTCCCGGGAGCCAGGCTACCTTCAGAGTCACTCCAGGTTTCAGTACTGTCTCCCTGCCATCCGCCCCCAATCTGTTGCTCTCGTCTGTAACTTGCTGGTTCAGCTTAGCTACAGGGATGGTCACTTACCAGGGAAATCGATTATTTCGCTTTCTTTAACTTTTCTTTCCTTGGCACCATTACTTTGTGAACATAAGGCAATATGAAGAGTAGGCTCAAGAAGAAGACGTGGCCAAGAAAATAGACGGATTTATACACCTGTGGGGAGATACCGGCCACTGAGCGAGAGACAGAGCAAGGACCGTCCTCACGGCCTGCGGTTTCAGCGATTTCCGCCCCCTCCGCTTACCTTAAACCACTTGTCCCACGTGAAGAGGCAGAAGGCAGTCATTGAGTAACCCATGAAGAGCCAGTGGATGGTCTGCTGCACCAAGTAGTAGAAGGGTTGTAGGATGGTAATGGAAGCCAGGTTGCTCAGGGTTGGGCTCTCCTGAATTAGCCTGGCAGCCTGGGGAGCGAGGGGAGAGGTCGTGAGTGTCTCGCTCGTCATCGTCCCTGTTCACCCGGCACCCCTCAGGCCTACCTTTCTCTCCACGATGACAATGAGGAATTCCATCTGGAAGCAGACCAGGTATCCCGAGTGGAGGCCGTGCCAGAGGGCCAAGAAGAGCAGCGACAGTCCCTGGGACAGTTCTTTATTTCCAAGGAACTTGAGCCGTTTGAAGACGTAACTAGAGAAAAGGGTGGGTGGGGATGGGCCTCAGAGCAGTGCCTGCTGCCACGCTGGTGGCTCCTGCTCCGGGTGGTCTGGGGTGAGGGAGGCGGTGCCATCAGACTAGCTTTAGAAATGAAAGGCAGGGGCACCTGAGTGGCTCAGTCGGTTAAGTGACCGACTCTTGGTTTCGGCTCAGGTCGTGATCTCACGGTTTTGTGGGTTCAAGCCCCGCATTGGGCTCTGCACGGCCAGTGCAGAGCCTGCTTGGGATTCTCTCTCTGCCCCCCTGCCTCGGTCTCTGCCCCTCCCCCACTCTCACTGTCTGTCTCAAAATAAATGAATAAACTTTAAAAAAAATTAAAAAAAGAAATGAAAGGCAGCGGAATCGATGACTCTGTTCAGAGACAGCAAACAGACCTCACGCTTAGCTGGGTGAGCTTGGGCGAGCCACTTTGTACAAGATAACTGAGTGCTGAGCGCCCGGTGCCTAAGCTGCAGTGCTGAACAGGGCAGACCGGTTCTCGTGCCGCTCAACACTTGTGCGTTGGTGGGGACAAATAAAGACGTTTGTAAATGGCAAAGGGGAACATGAAACCAGGGCGGAACTGGGATTAAAATTCAAGGCACCTCTCGGTCTTGCTTGTGCCTTGCGAATGTGACAGGAGTGGTTTTCGGGGGGCCGGGAGTGGAGACGGAAGTCAGTATGTGGTGGGTGGGTGCGAGAACGACGAGGTTCTACCCAGAGTGGGAAAAGATGGACCGCATATCCGTGCGCTCAAATCTGGGAAAGTGGTGGAAGAAGCTAGGGTCCGGACCCCCGTTCCAGCCGCTTACCGGGCCACCCAGGCATTGGTGTTGATGTTGAAAGAGGCGATGGTGCCGGTGAATCGGGGGGTCGTTTCAAAGAGCCACACCTTCATGTTGGCACAGGCGTCCCACTTCGCCTTTCTGTGTTCGTCAAAGTCATTGAAGCCCAGCCCTGTCAAAATGCACACTCCTTCCTGAGGGAGGGAGCATTCCGTTAGCATTCCTGCTCCTCTCCTCCCCACCGCGCCCCACAGCTTGTTGGAATATGACCCGGGTTCATCTTTCCTACTTACAGTGACCAGCCAACAGGTGACGTACTTGTACAGCACGAACTTGCCCCAGAGCAGCATGTACATGCAGCGGAACCAGAAATCGTGGTTCTTGAGGAAGGAACACACAGGCATTAGGGATACTCCCCGGGCAAGGCCAAATGCCCTTCATGTTCTTCCCTTCCAAACTTGAGGCTGACTACTTCATGTCCACCTGACGGTCCGCTTCGCTGCCCTTCTAGTAGGCTAAGAGGAATACGCAGGGAGCCCAGTGAACATCCATTCACCTTTTTCTTTGAAGAGTCCCAGAAACAGCATTGTCCCTAAACTCCTCTAACGCACTGAGCATTCGGGACACGGAGCACCGAGGGACTTTTATATATCCATGGTCAATGTTAGTTTAAGGAGATAAACCTACCCAGAGTGCGTAGGGAGCTGCTGCAAGCCTTTCAGCTGGGCAGGAGCAAAAGCCAGCACTTCCCCCTCCCTTGGTTTTTGAATTCCCTAGAAGCCCCCAATCTATCAAGAGAAGAAAACAGGCTGGAGAGGACCAAAAGCTGCTCTGCTCCAAGGAGTCACTTGGCTGTAATAAATCAGGCTAAGAGCTGCTCCCGAGGGAGGTAAGGGGTGCTAACAGTGCACCTGGCACAGCCCTGTGCCCGCGGAGGTCGTTCAGTGCTGGCTGATGAACATGTCGCGGCCCGGCTGGCATTGACACCAACTCTCACAGATCTAGAGCGAAACCAACATGCATTTGTAGATGGTGTTACCCGCTTCTTGGCTATCTACAGGGATCCTTGCCTGTCCATTTCTACCTCTGATGCAGTCACACTGCTGCTCCATTAGTAAGCACTCACTTCATAGTCTTCAGTGAGGAGATAGTCTTCTGTGATGTGGGGGCTAAGCAGAGTGTAGCCCACTAGGTAGACAAGGCCCAGACTCAGGCGCTTGAGAGCAGGTATGGTGCTGGAAAGGAACAAGCAAGGTCACAACAGACAGAGGCTATTCCCTTCGCCCTCTGACCTTAAATTACGGAGAGAGGGGTTTCAGAGTGTGGCTATCCGCCCAGAGGAGGACGAGTGGCTCTCCGTCCAGAGCCTTTATTCAGTCTCAGGGAAAGACAGCTCTCTGTGGTTGGCTTTGGGCAATGGTGAACGCGAGACCCTGTGAGTCACAGGGGCGGGCAGGGTGGGCAGGGGAGCGGTGTGGACGAGTCTGTGGTGCTTCCCCCTCAGGGCTCCTACACATCTCATGGCCTCACCAACCGCCTCCATCCACACTGGGACTGAAAATCCAGTGCGGAGGACTGGAGGATGACCAATCCTCAGTCTGCTCCTTCCTACCCTGGTTGAATCGAGGCCCAAACACAGGCTAGACACGTTCTCAGGAAAAGGATTTTTCTGGTAACTTTTCAATTTTCTACTGTGATATATATATACACACATATATATATACACACACACATACACACACACATTTTTATATATTTAACAATCTTTTAAACCGAGAAAACGGGTTTTAAAGGCAGGGACGTGACTGTTCAGGCAAAATCCTGTGGCATAAAAGTGAATTTTTACGTTTGTACTACAAGGTCAGAATGGCTGGCTGGAAGTAGCCTACGCTGAAATGGGCCCGCCACCCGCACTGAGCAGGTACGGAGCGCCCGTTACGACAGTCTGGGGCCTGTGCGGCACAGGCCTGTGAGCCGGGGCCGTGCTGGAGAACGCAGCCAGGGCTGGCCTGCAGGAAGGCACCTAGAAGTGGCTTTGTATTGGGTGAGATCACCTATACAGAGGTCTTGACCAAGAGGGGCAATTACCTGTTTGGTATCTTCCCTGGTATGTCAGTCAGCTGTCCCTGCACCAGCTTCATGTAGTGGTTCATTGAGAACTGGGGCCCTACCAAGAAGGCCCCATAGAAGTAGGAGAAACCAGCAACTTCCAGCAGGGAAGGGACACCCCGTATGGCATATTTCTGTTGCTCAGAGGACAAGGAATTCTATGCCGAGAAGAGAATGAATGGTTCAGGATAGCCTTGAATCTCCCCCCAAGAGCCAGTCTGCGTGTTCCCCACCCTGGGACCCCACTGAACTGGGGTTCTTCAAACAGCCGTCTCTTTGAGGGCGTGACATGGAGAAGAGTAATTGCCTCACGTGGAAATGAGTATGTGCAGGGGTAACTTAGCAACAAGTGGCTGCTGCTTTTCCAAACGCCATGCTGGCACTGATCTCTGGACTTTGTGCGAGAGCTGGATCCGGGCAAATTAGATTTGCTGATCCGTGCTCAGTGTTATCTGAAACAGAACTCACACAGGCCGGGGATGAGGCAGAGGCTCTGCCCCTGGCATCTGGGTCCAGTCTTTTGATTACAACAGCCTTTCTCCTTCCCTCTGGTTCAATTCCTTAAACTCTCTGCAGAGGAATGGGAACTTACCTGATCCTTCCCTCCGTCAAAGTAGTCAACAGCCAGACCTGAGCAGAGAGAGAAGGTGTGGGTAGAGCAGGGGGAGAGGCCACTGAGGAGGTGGCCTGTGGACTGAGTGTAGCCAGGAGCGGACCGGGGAAAACAGAGTAAGTTTACGGTCAGACGGGGAAGAGCCTAGGGGTAAAAGGGGAAGGCAATGAGCCAGCACTCACCAATCAGCTTCAAGGTCAGGACACAATGTGGCATTGTCCACTTGATATCATAGTTGCCAGTGGCTGTGTAATAATATCCGGCAAGAAGGTAGGCCTAGGGAGGGGGAAGAATTTATTGCATCACCAGCTAGGATTTCTTTATTTTCTCCCTGCTCTAAAATCCACTGTATTCTTTCATTTTCCCCTTCTCTTGGTCTCCTCCTTAAAGGCTTTTGTTTTTAAGTTTGATCTTTTAAATAAAAAAAAAAAATTGTTTATTCATTTTTGAGAAAGAGAGAACGTGAGCGGGGAAGGGGCAGAGAGAGGTGGGAGGGACAGAGGATCCAAATCAGGCCCTGCTGACAGCAGACAGCCTGATGTGGGGCTCAAACTCTGAACCGTTGAGATCACGACCTGAGCTGAAGTCAGACGCTTAACCAACTGAGCCACCCAGGGGCCCTAAAGGCTTTAAGTTACTATACATGGAAGAAACTGAACCCATGGAGGGGAATGCTCAAGGCTTCTCAGCAGAATGAGGGCTCAACTGAGAATTTGGAGCTTAGAGTCCGTAGCTCAGTCTCAGCTGGTTTTCTGCCTGGCCTTTACACGACACCCCTCCTGGACAGCTAGCTGGGTAGTCCTGGTCAAAACCAAAGAACAAGAATGGCGCAGTCCTGTGCAAGGGCTCAGCTGTTCAGGTCATCGTCACTGCAACCTGCAGATGGGGCGCCTGGCGCCTGCGAAGAGTGACCTACCTGAAGCCATGCTGCGGAGAGATGTCGGGAGAAAGGACTAGAAATCGGGTCTCCTAGGTCACTTTTTCTGCGCCACAGTCCCCGACCTCCCCCCTCCCCCCAAGGGCTGTTGGCTGTGGTCTGAGCTGCCGAGGGAGAGGCGTTTACCATCTGGAAGCAAAATGTAGTGAGGACGGTAGTGATGGTGCGGCCCATCAGTCGAAGGATGAGGAACTGAAGTCCAACACACAGCAGGGAGTGGTAGAGCTGATTTCCTGGAGGCGGAGAGGACAGCAACTTTTAGCCTGTGGTGGTTTTGTTTTTTGGGTTTTGTTTTTGTTTTTTCGCATTCTCACCTGGGCTGAGACTTCTAAACACAAAGAGAATATTTAAAGAAAAAAACCTTTGGTATTAGGATTTCTTTCTTTTCAAAGAGACTCAGATCTTGGTGGGAGGGAAGGAAATGAACTGTATACATATAAGGGATTGTCAGGGCGTTGCTGCATTTCTGAGTGTTTGAGCTAAAGGGATGCTCCTGAAGAAGGCTGCTTGCATCTTGCATCCAGTTACAGCCCCAGCAGAGGAAATGATGGGGGGCTGGCAAAGGTAACCAAGCACTCTCAAAATGTTAGAGAAAGGGATGCATGGAAAAGGAAAATTAAGCTCTGGTCCTGTGCATACAAACCCTCTTTGCAAGCAGAGCGTTATTAACTTCCCTAGCCATCACACTCTCTCCAGAAACTCTGTTTAAGCCTGTTCCTTCCCAGGTTCCCTCCAATCGCCGTGCTACTGCCAAGTTCACTCACCAAAGTTAAAATAAGCAATTGAGAGGCCTGTAAAGGCGTGGAAGAGATGGATGAGGTAGCTGTCCTTGAAGTAAAGGTAACGCCGATAAAATACAGCCATGGGGTAACCTAGAGGGGAGAAAAATCAGTCAGAGGGTCACGCATGCCTGATGCCCTCCGGGTTTTGGAAGTTTCTCTGGCATGAAATGCAGCCCAGAGTGGAAAATACGTCCCTTATGTGGATGACAGCAGAGAACAGTATCCAAGAATCAAAATTTGCTTTGTAAATACAAACTTAAAACTGAAGATATGGGGGCACCTGGGTGGCCCCGTCGGTTAAGTGTCCAATTTCTGTTCAGGTCATGATCTCGCAGTTCGTGGCTTCGAGCTCTGTGCTGACAGCTCAGAGCCTGAAGCTTGCTTCAGATTCTGAGTCTCCCTCTCTCTCTGCCCCTCCCCTGCTCGTGCCTTCTCTCTCTCTCTCTCTCTCAAAAATAAATAAAACACACACAAAAAATTTTAAATTAAAGGTATGAATTTTATACTGAGGCAATACAAAACTGGGTCCTAAGACTAGGTTTCCTTTATAGCCTATTAAATATTGCTAGGAATTTTCTCTTGCGTTTTTCTAAATGACACAAGGAATTAAGGGTGCCTAACGATGCCCTGAGATGCTAGTTTACACCTTTATGCTCGATTATGATTTCATCACCTGTCCTGTTAGCAGAGTAATGTCAGCTTATTAACATTATTAAGAGGACAAATATAAATTAAAACCAGGCTACAAAATGGGATTACTGACTGCACATACACTTGTAGACTCCTCACATACTGAGGTCTGGGCATCAACTGTGTTATAAATCCATGTAAATATCCTGGGGAAATGTCATCTAAAGCTGTGATTCCGAGTATAGTCCCAGGGCCACGATGACGGAACTACAAGGGGTCTCTGCTGGGTCATAAACTGATTAGGCATGGCGAAAGGCAGCTTACGGAATTAAAAAGGGTCAATAACATTTGGTATTTCTGAACTACAATCAGTATGTTCCATGGCTTTACTACACATTCAGTGTTCTGTCAAGGAGCGTTCTACTTTTTTTTTTTTTTTTTAATGTTTATTTGTTTTTGAGAGAGAGAGACAGAATGTGAGCAAGGGAGGAGCAGAGAGAGAGGGAGACACACAATCTAAAGCAGGCTCCAGGCTCTGAGCTGTCAGCACAGAGCCCGATGTGGGGCTCGAACCCACAAACCGTGAGATCATGACCTGAGCTGAAGTCGGACGCTTCACCGACTGAGCCACCCAGGCGCCCCGGTCAGGAAGCGTTCTATCAAGAAGTCTGGCTAACGTGCCCAGAAATACTCCTCCTGCAGCAGAGCACGTGCAGAGAACTGGAATCCCCATGTCTTTCTGGAAGGACACTTCACATATCCTATCATTGCATAACTAGTGTTCCTGAGCTGCTCATGATTTATAGTTGCTGCACCTCTTGCTGTCAAATTATAGGTTGCAGTTAGTTTTTCGTGGGCAGTATGCTGGTATGCGTGGTTAAACTCTGAGATGCTTAGGAACGTGTTGGACACAAAGAAAGTGCTCGATTATTTATTAAGTGAATAGAAAAATGGATAATCATGTTTTATATTGGCCTATGTCTTTCTAGTCCTTTTCCCCGTTTTTTTCTTTTAATTTACCAACACAGTTCGGGTATTTGTGTATCCTGGTTTTTTCACGGAACAGTGTGTCAACTATTTGATCTTCTTGGTGCTAGGACTTGCTGATGTTCTTTGATTGCTGTTTTCATCATGGGCTAGGCTCTTTAACAAATTTACAGCTGCTTGCAAGTAGTTAATTCTGCAGATGGTCTATGGATCATGGGCTCATTCATTTGACAGATGTTTGTTAAATGCCTACTCTATGCCAGGTATTCTGATTATAGAGCATATAATGAGGAAGGAGGTGGCATGTAATGGTTTATTCTCTTTCTTTCTTTTTTAAAGTTTATTTATTCTGAGAGAGAGCAAGCAGGGGGAGGGGCAGAGAGAGAGGGAGAGAGAATCCCAAGCAGGCTCCTCACTGTCAGTGCAGAGCCCGATGCGGGGCTCAATCTCACGAACCCGTGAGATCATGACCTGAGCTGACTGAGCCACCCAGGCACTCCTGTAATGGTTTATTTTCCTGCTAGCAGAAGATGAAGTGATATAGGATTACTAGGCTCAAGGGGAGAGGGAGACATCTATAAACCCTTTCATAGTCACATGAATGAGCAAAGAAACAGGATTGAGTCTCATTACATATCACATGGGCAGGGACAGAACACCAGGTTACAGCAAGTTTTGCTAAGAAGCAGAGCCAGGTACTAGAAAGTATATAGAATAGGGTCCAACTGCCTTAAATTTTTTGCTTTTCACTTTTTAAAAATATTTATTTTTGAGAAAGAGAGAGAGAGAGAGAGAGAGGCAGAGAGGGAGAGAGGGAGAGAGAGAGAGAGAGAGAGAGAGAGAGAGACAGAATCTGAAGCAGGGTCCAGGCTCTGAGCTGGACACAGAGAGCCCGATGCGGGGCTTGAACCCAGGAACCATGAGATCATGACTTGAGCAGATGTTGGACGCCCAACCTACTGAGCCACCCAGGCGCCCCTCATTTTTTTTTTTTTAAGTTTATTTAGAGAGGGAAAGTGCGTGTGAATGAGAGGGGGAGGAGCAGAGAGAGGGAGAGAGAGAATCCCAAGCAGGCTCCATGCTCAGCGTGAAGCGCGGGCTCGATCCCACAAACTGTGAGATCATGACGTGAGGAGAAATCAAGAGTCGGAGGCTTAACTGAGCCACCCAGGCGCTCCTGCTTTTCATTTTTAATGTTTTAGAAACAGGAGTACAAATGAATAGAAGCGATAAATAGGGTAGATCTTAATTATCTAGAGTACTGGTAAATGAGTTCATCTATAGATAGCGAAGAGCTTATCTCTTTAGCACTAAGACCTTTAACCAACTGGAAGCACTAAAACCATTTAGAATGCTTGAAATTAAAAAAACAAAACAAAACACGACACACACTACTCTGCTTCCTTAACCTGAATATACTTAACATTTTCTTGGTGATCTGGGCCACAATTATTCTGCAGTACAGTCATGATGGCTTTGTGACCTGTCGAGGAGTGTGAAACCGTTTGCCCGGACCCTGTAGGCCCTCCACTGTTCGGCATTCTGAGTTCTTGTATCTGTTTCTTATGGCCTTCATGGCCCCTCCCTTGCTATTCAGGGATCAGGAGTCACTTCTTGAGCTTCGAAGAGTTCCCTTCCCAATTTCTACTTTACTGCAGGCCTTAGAAACTGTAACTTTGTGTAAAGTTGTTAAAGGTATAAAAAAAAGATGTAAGAGCCAGAGTCTTGGGTGCTTTCCTTACAGGAGACTTAGTGCACAGGCCTGGTGACATCTGTTCTGGCCGCTCCAGGCCCCTTCCTCCTGTTTTCAGGTATATTTGGGGGGCGGGGTGGGGGTTGTTGAGTTCCCTACACGCAAGAAGATGGAGCAACTGGCAGAAAAATTAAAGAAGGCAGCAGGCCAGGTTACCACAGACACGGAGGTCCTAACAGAGAAGAGCAAAGCCCGGAATGAAGCCTCAGAGAGAAGAAGGAGCTGTGTGTCAGCCGAGTTGCTGGGACAACCCAGAGCTGATTTTGAGCGTAAACATCAAACCTGGCTCTTGGCTGCCACTCAGCTCAGCGGGCTTCGGGGCCTGGCTGCCCAGTCACCCCTTGAGGGATGTGCTGTTTGGCGCAGGATGTTGTCCCTCAAGCTGTTTCTGAGTCTTAAGGCTTTTTGATGGGAGTCGACGCTTACTGTAATGGCTGCAGTCACCGGAAGAATCTTTAAAAAACAACGAGAGCACCTCCTCGCTCACCGCCCACCCACGAGTCTGATTCGGCAGGTCTGAGTGACCGTGATGCGCCGCAAGGGTTAACAAGCACCACCTCACGAAAATCTGAAAGCAAGCCGGCAGCACTTACTAGGTCCTGAGAATAACATTCTAAGCCTGATGGCCGGGGGTTCTGGTCTTTCCCATAATAGCACCAAACATGCAGAGAGGTTTGTTTTATAAACAAATTTGCAGCTTCACGCAAGTAGTTAATTTCCTAGATATCCTGTGGATCGCTGGCTGCCTCCTTCCTTTGACAAATGTTTATATAAATGCCTACTAAAGCCAGGTATTCTGTTTATGAAGCATAGGAGAACTTGTTTGGCTATACTGTAACTGTTTCTTCTTTTTGATTACGTTTTAAAGGTGGGGAGGGCTTCAGAAACTCATTAGCAGATGAAGGATGATGATCTAACACATATTAAACCTTGAGGATCCCCTACTGGAATGGGAATGTTCCAACAGCAAAAACTAGGGCATTCAAAATGCTCTGAACCTCAAAGTACACTGAAGTGGGTCCTCTTCAGAGGTTCAGCAGTCATGGAGCGTTTCCAGCTGTACTATCCAGTCACTGGATCAGTCAGGTCCAAGCGCCACTTGAGTCAGAAACTAGGATCCATCACAACCTAGACTGTCATGGAACTCCTTATTCTCTGTACGGTAGTTGTGAAATTACTTGTTAATCCTACAGGTTTGGAGGCTTCATTTGAAGAAGTAGAAATGAGCTGTTTAGGGGCACCTGGGAGGTTCAATCAGTTAAGCATCCGACTTCAGCTCAGGTCATAATCTCACGGTTCATGGGTTCGAGCCCCGCATCGGGCTCTGTGCTGACAGCTCAGAGCCTGGAGCCTGTTTCGGATTCTGTGTCTCCCTCTCTCTCTGCCCCTCCCCAACTTGCACTCTGTCTCTCTCTCTTTCTCAAAAATAAATAAACATAAAAAAAAAAAAAGAAAGAAATGAGCTGTTTGTATTCAAGTCCAGAAATTAATTAATCAAATTTCTTTGACTTTCAACCTGTATAGCTCTTTCTGGACTCTGGAGGAATATGGTATGACCCCATTTGATCAGTCAGTCGTTCATATTACCCCGGTGAAAGGAATATAGAGCATTTTTGGCAAGTGTGAGAGAGAAGACAGAGTTAGACAGAACTGCTATGTGTTGGCTTAGTCAGATACTTATACCAGTTTTGTCAAAGAAGAAAACTACCTCAAGCACCAT